TAAAATTGACAGCATACATAAGTAGCAACATCATTTTACTCCTCCCAAGAAGTAGTACTGAGCACCAAGGAATACAGTTAGAAAATCTGAACACTAGTCTTTAGAACTACAGATTAAAGAATGAGGTAGGGAACTGCCTTTTTGTTATTCTAAACTCTTCAATAGAGTACTGCAATCATGGCCCCCCCCTCCACTTTTTCACTGGGAAGAAAAATAATAAAAGCAATTAAAAAAATGATAGCTATAGATGTAGGCTCAAGCAGAAATGCCTGCGTAGGAAGCACAAGGCTCTTAGTTCAAATCCCAAGAGAATCCAATGTCAAAATACTGTAAGTTTGCTTTAAAAGTTTTTTGGTGTTTTTTTTTTTAAAGGCCAGGTGAGCTAGCTCATGCCTGTAATTCTAGCTGCTTATATCTAAGGACTGTGGTCAGAAGCCAACCCAGGCAGCAAAGTCGGTGAGACTTTTATCTCCAGTTAACCACCAAAAAGCTGGAAGTGGAGCTGTGACTCAAGTAGTAGAGCACTGAGCAAAAAGTTCAGGCCCCGAGTTCAAGCCCCAGCACTGGCAAAATCAATCCATCCATCCATCCATCCATGTGATTCAGTCATTATAAACACAACAACCACTCAACCACAATTCAAGGGCAAGACAGCACTACAGTCCTCTAACACCTCTAACACCAATGCCCTCACAGCCCTTTCTAGTTTGTAATTCTCAACTTGGCCAAGATCTCACAGCAGGTGAACAAGGTCAAACTACAGCCTAATGTCCAATCAGAGCCCTTAAAATCTCATGACAGAAAATTAACAAAAGAAAAATTAAAGATATAAATACACTATGAGACTGTTATTGCTACCACAAAGATTAAAAAGTTCATAATACCAAATGACAGAGATCTTAATAAACTATACAAGATATGGACTTGTAGAAAACCCTTTTATACACCATGTATCCCAAGATGGGTTTTAAGTATTCTAAAAACATATTGGTTGAGCCAGGCGCTGGTGGCTCAAGCCTGTAAACTTAGCTACTCAACAGGCTGAGATCTGAGGAATGCAGTTCAAAGGCAGCTCAGGGGAAGAAAGTCCATGGATTACCTCCAATTAACCACCAGAAAAAATGGAAGTAGCAATGTGACTAGTCTTGTGCAAAAGAGCTTAGGGGCAGTGCCCAGCCCTGAGTTCAAGCCGTACAACGATGACCACCACCACACCACCACCACTACCAAAACATATGGTTTCAAGTAGAGATGGGATGAGGAAATAAAGGAGATAACAATGCAAAGGTGACACTGACCAAAATGCATTGCATTCATAACTTGACTTCTGAAACAGAAACTCCTCTGTAGAACTACTTAGTAAAAATTAGTATTTTAAAACAACCACCTATCTATCTTGTCAAATAGTTCTATAGCATACTTAATAAAAAATTCTGAATCAAGTACCTAAATGCAGTAAAGATTTATTTTTAAATTAAGGCACCTATTGACTCTAACATCTTAAGAACTCAGAAGTAGTTAATGTTAGACTACTTCCTAAGGTATCTTTGCGAATTAACAAGATTTAGAGTATGAGAAACAATAGCAATCATTTAATCCAGTCCTATCACAGTTTATGTCTAAACAGACAAGAAACCAGAATACTTATTCAAAGCAATGTACACTAAAAGTCTTGGAGCAGGGCCTCTTAATCTCTTGGTGTACTACAGTTATAAAGACTATCAATAAGGCCATGATTGCCAACACATCTTTATCATCCTACTTTTCATCCTTTCCAAATCTAGTCACAGTGACAATCCTTTGACAAGTAGCCAGTACCTAATATGTGCCAGGCATTATTGAAACACCTAGTTTATACAAGGTGTTCTGCACAAAGCACAAAGATAAATTAGTGCAATACCAGACTTATTGTTTAATAGGAGAGGTTTGGGGTACTGACTAGAGCATAAAACAAAGTGCTGTAAAAGAAGATGTGAGGTGTAAGTAGGATTCTGACAAAAATAAATGTAGAATATCAGATATATCAAGATGAGAACAGCAAAAACAAAGAAAGCTCCAGAGAGTATAGATAGATAGGACTTGCTTGAAGAACCATCCATTTAGTTGGATCATTAGCCATAGTAGCAAATAAACTTACATAAAATGAGGAACCATATTAAAGAGATGTTGCATATTCTAGGCCAAATTATTCAAATTTAGTTTATAGCTAGTCAATAGTGATCCATTGAAGATTTCTAAAAAAAAAAAAAAAATGACAAAACCAAGATTACATTAACTTGAAAATACAATGTAGGATAAAAAAAGGGAGGAAACTGCTGAGGAAGTTATTGTAATCCAGACAAGAGAATATGAAACTGAACCAACATAAAAGCAAATATAGAAGATTAAAGCATTACAAAAGGGAAGCTGATGTGCCCTGATAGCTGCCTGACTGCAAGAGAGCTGAGATTCAGCCATTCATAGGAAAGAAATTAGGATGTATCACTAAAAGAAAATAGGCAATATATGCTTAAGATGAAGCTTATGCCACACGGGAAATATACTATTCTACTTTAGAAGAGCAAACTTTCCCTTAGTAACATAAACAAACATAACAATGACATACAAACTACAGTCTACAAAAAAATAATCAAAGCTTCCAGGCACTAATGGCTCACAACTACAAGCCTAGCTTCTCAAGAAGCTGAGATTTGAGGATAGACGTTTGAAGCCAGCTTGGGCAGGAAAGTCCACAAGACCTTTAGCTCCAATGAACTGGCAAAAAGCTGTCAGGGGCAGCACCCAGGCCCTGAGTTCAAGCCCCAGAACTGCCACATACAAACAAAAATACTCAAATCATTCCAGTTTCAAAAATGAATGTTTTTTACACATATTTGTAAAAACATAGATATCAGAACTAACGTTTTTACAAAAATACACATATCGAGTTTTATCATGAAAAGCTAGAAATGTCACGTACACTACATTTAACAGTCTCAGAAAATAACTGGTCTATTGTGAGTGTGTATCAAAAACTATCAACTAGTTCAATTACGTAAGGTAACTGATGTTCAGTTTTGAAACTCGCACTTATAAAATATATTTGGCCTTCTTCCTAATGTATTCCCTTGAGTATAGTTTCTGTTCTAGATACCTCGTGCCCCAGTGACTAGAATTTAGATCTTGGATAAAAAGAAAAAACAACTCATCTTGGACATACAACTAAAGATCTAGAATTTGAGCACCTACTACTCAACAGGTAATAGAGTTACAAATAGTAATACATGACTCCTCTCTCCAACCTAAGATTTCTTTCTCTAAACAAATCAAACATCACAGCCTTCAACAGAAGATCTTTCACTCTTATTTTTGTGATCATCACTGAGTCTTTTTTCTGGTTTCTCATCTGAAAAATGGATGAAGATCCAATAAAAAAAGAAAGGTGAGAGCCTTATAAACATGACAAGTGTGCCATCTGGCTTTCTATAGAATTAACCACACACTGATCGGACTTTTTTTTTTTTTTTTGCCGGTCATGGGGCTTGAACTCTGGGCTTGGGCACTGTCCCTCAGTTCTTCAGCCCAAGGCAAGCGCTCTACCACTTGAGCTACAGCGCCACTTCCAGTTTTCTAATGGTTTATTGGAGATGGGAGTCTCACGGTCTTTCCTGTCCGGGCTGGCTTTGAACAGAGACCCTCAGATCTCAGCCTCCTGAGTAGCTAGGATTACAGGTGTGAGCCACTGGCACCCGACTTTTTTTTTTTTTTTTTTTAAATGAAGAATATCACCGATACAATAAATACACTCATTTGACTGGCTCAACACCAAGCCACCATCCTGGAAACGTCCTCAACACAAATGTTATTCCATACAGTAGGTGAACTTACGAGGACAATAAATCTATGCAAATTTTCAAGACAAATGTTTGAAGATTACAAATACGTGTCTTAGTTTCTCAGCATTTTGTGAGGAAAATTAGTACTGCAATTCATGATACAGAATACTACTAAAAACACCATCTTTAATATTCTGGAGTAAAATAATGCAACTACCTTGTTGGAAGTAATGACTCTTACTAACAAAGGCCATCTCAACAAATGCAAAACCTTGAAGTTTTAAAACTTTAGATAAACTTCTGAAATAAGTTGGTTGGATTACTTAAGTAGCTCATAACCAAATAGTTGTAACTGCACAAAATATGAAGTTTCTCAAAAGATAGGCATTTTTATCTTAACCACCTACACAAGACCCTGCAAGAAAATTAAATGAATTTGAGCTAGTAATTCTTCAGAATATGCCAATCAATTATCACATACCCAAAGCAGACCCACTCAAAAGGATCTAAGAATCTTCTCATAAAAATAAAAGATGTTAGTAGCTGGGCACCAGTGGCTCATACCTATAATCCTAGCTAATCACGAGGGTGAAATCTGAGGGTCATGGTTCGAAGTCAGCTGGGGCAGAAAAGTCCATGAGACTATTATTTCCAATGAACTGCTCAGAAAAAGCAGGAAGTGGCGCTGTAGCTCAAGCTGTAAAGAGCTAGCCTTGAACACAAAGAGGCTGAGGTTCTGTGCCCAGACCCTGAGTTCAAGACCCAGGACCAGTGCCAAATAACAAAAAAACAGCAACAGTTGTCAAGGACATTTGTGAGCTAAGTTTTAATGACACCTATTTTCACTTAATAATCTGAAAACATGAAAGTGAAAACCCATCACTTATTTGTACATGGAATTTATGTAACAAGGAAAACCTTTGCATCCGAACCTCTGAGCATCCTTGTAACATTTATAAATATTATCATTTATTGCTTTCATTTGAATTTATGGAAATAAGGTCTAAATAATAAAAGGGATTTAAGATATTTTTCAGAAAGGTGACTTTTAAAACTACCCTTTCTTAGGCAACAAACACAAAACATTCTTAAAAGGTTATGTTCAGATTTAAGGAAATCCTTTGGCAATCAAGATTTGTTTAAAGATTCTATATTTATGTTTGTCATTACTAAACATGCTCTTACCTTCTGCTACATCATCATCTACTGCTCCTTTCACCTGAGAGAAACACCACTGGATATCATTCCCTCCTCCAGCTCCTGGAAAAAGAAAATACACCAATTAAAACAGAGTCCTGTTCGTGTTTACTCTCAGCAACAGAGATGGTATCCATGGCTGGCATGATCCTCATACTGCCTAGTGCTGCCCACGCAGACAACCACCACTAACAGAACCAATTTGGAAAAAGGTTAGTCCCAGGAGAGATGGTAGTGCTTTAAGAACAAGATTCCAGGTATGAAATATGCAAAGGCCTACATTCTATGATCCTCTTTATACATGTATTCCAAACTCTCTCCCACTTTCCCTACCCTTTGAAAGTAAGAGCCTTACTTACCCAAGGCACACCTCCCAGAAAAAAAGTAAATACTAAAAGTTTTCCTTGAACTATACCAGAAGACTCCAGAAGAGTCAAAATAAGTATAACTACCATGAAACACAGAGGTAGAGAAACTTAGTGAGCATTACTGCCTAGGTGAGGAGTAGCAGCTCATGTAACCGCTATGGCCAATGTGTGCACCCAGTCAACACAACACCCACTTCTTTGCATGCAATACCAGCAAATAAATCACTGGTTCCAGAGAGAAAAGAAAACTGAAATAACGCTGCTCAAGAGACTGTCAAAGGAAGCCTGTTCTCTCTTTGCCTTGTCCAGGGGAATCCAAGCAACCTGGCACAGAATCCATTTTGCTAATTTGTCATCATTTTGGACAAAACAATTTTAATCTCATTTCATTATTCATCAAGGTCAAAGAGCAATGTGTTTACAGCAAACTAAGTCAGTCCAAGATGTTAACTTTTTGAAAGGTTACACTAGCTAGCTAAATTCATTGAAAAAAGGGGGGGGGGGGGGAAACATGGAAAAACTGGTTTCATCTTGGAATGTCTATTTCACCTCTGAGAATTGGGAAGGATATGGTGGAAAAAGTCCTGGACTTCAGGCGGAAGAAAACAAATCTAAGTCTAGAATTAATTTAACTAGCTGAAGGAAGGTGTCTGCAACACCAAAATATTGAGATAAGCTTCAAAGCTCTCTCCTCACCCCTAAACTATTTCCAACCTGGTTTTCTCCACAGATACTTTTTTTTGCAAGCTTTTACGAAATCTCTCTCCCTTTGGCTATTTATATCAGAACTCCACAACTATTTTAACCAACTCTATGTACAGAGAGCCTTTTGGGAAAAGGAGATCTGCACAAAAGCTGGCGTGCAACATGCAAAGTTTAAATGGAATCGGGTTTTTTCGTGCAACTTGCTGTGCATTAAAAAAAAAAAAAAAAGGAAAGGAAAAAAAAAAGGGCCTGGCACTCTCTAGGTCGCAGAGCGTTGGAAACAAAACAAAAAAAAAAAATCGGGTTTGCATCCTCAGGAGCAGACGTACCCGGCCGTGGGGGCGGGACGGGGGTCACACCCCTGCCCCCATTGTATTCTAACTTGTAAAGCGCTCTTCCTTCCTCCTCCAGGCAAAAATCCATCCTCACCGTCTATTTCCAGGCACACACCCGGGAGGAGAAGGAAAAGCCGGGTCTGGTCCGCCGCAGAGCCGTGGGGCGGGCGGCGTGGCCGGGTGGCGGCCGGGGACACGAATCTGCGCGCCCGCCCCGGCCCGCCCCACCCACGCCCCAGCCCGCGGCCCGCCGCGCGGCCCCACCCCCACCCCACCCACGCCCCGCGCCCGCCCTCCCCGCAGCCCCCGCCGCCGCGCGGCGCCCGGGCCTCCCCGCCCCCACCGCCCCCCGGGCCGAGCCCCCGACGTCCGGGGTGTGGGGGGGGGGGCGCCCCGGGCTCCACCGAGGCCCGCCGGCGGGCGCGGGGAGGGTGGGGGGGCGGACGGAGGGAGGAGCGAGGCGGCGGCGGCGCCCGCCGGCGGGCGAGGGCAATTCCCCGCTTACCTGCCATGGTGCGCTGCAAATGGAGACCCCGCCGGGCTCGTCGGGTCCCCGCGTCCTGCGCTCGCCCCCCTCACCTGGGGCTGGGGGGGTAGGGAGGGCGGATGGCGGCGGATGGCACCTGTGGGGGAGGGGGCTGGGCCGCGCAGAGGGAAGGAGAGGCGGGCGGACCGGCCGGCAGGATGGTGGGCTCCACTCCCGGGCGCCCCCGCTCGCGCTCCTTCCTCCCCTCGCGGCGGCGGCGGCGGCTGCTACGACAGCGACGGCGGCGGCGGCGGCAGGGGCAGGCGACTCCACTTTCAAAATGGCGCCGGCTGGCCTGGCCAGTGACGTCACCCGCGGGGCGGAGCGCCGGCGGGGCGGAGCCGCGGCGAGGGGAGGCACGGCCGCGCGGGGCTGCTGGCCACGCCCCTCGGCGCCGCGCTCCGGCCCCGCCCCTCCCGCTACGTCCTCCGCGGCCGGCCGGCCGGCGTGGCGCTGGGACCCGGGCTTTCCCCCCTCCTCCGTCCGGTGGCGGTGCCTTCGCTCCCCGGTCGGCCGGTGTGGGCCGCGGCCGGTCCCGCGTGGCCCTCACGCCGGCAGTGCCGGGACTCCTGGGCGGCCTCCGCTGTCCGGTGAACGTGCTCGCCCTCCCAAGTCCCCGTCTGGCCGCTTGCCCAGGGTGGGCCCGGGGCCTCTGGAATCGCCGTGCCCCGGCTGCCTGGCCGCGGAGATCCACGGAGCCCGCGGGGCCCCCGCAGGGCCGGTTCCATCTGGGTGAATTAGGTGACCGTCTAGAAGGTTCCTGGGGCCGAAGCCATGGCCGGGGGCCGGAGGCCAGCCGAGCCTATGGTGGCCCGGACGCCACCCGGAGGTGGCCCTGCCGGCCCGCGGGCGGTGGTGACAATCGGTGGGGGGGGGGGAGGCCAAGAGCTGGCGTCCACGGTGAGGACCCCTCGGCGGAGGCCGAGACGTGAGGACCGCGGTTCGAAGCCAGTCCGAGCAGGAAAGTCCCTGAGACCCCAGTCTCCAGTAAACCAGCGAAACAAAGCCCGGAAGTGGAGCTGTGGCTCAAGTGGTAGAGCGCTGAGCCAAGAAGCCGAGCGTCCCCAGCGCCAGTACAGAAAGCCTCGGTGGTAGAATGTAGGGGCCCGGGGGGGATGGGCAGGCCCCTCAAAGAGGCTCCCCCCACGCAGGCGCTGTGTCTGTACAGCCCCGGGTTCGATTCCTCAGCCCCACAGCACCACGGTGCTCCTGCAGAAACATCCAGAATTCTGACCTAGAGGCTGAATGCAGCAATGGAGGCGTTCAGTGACCAGGAGGGGGACGCGTCAGGTGCACCCCGCCCTCAACCCCATATTCCGCATCCCAGCACAGTTCACCTGTAAAAGTCAAGTTTTGACATTTCTTCCACAAGAAACGTCTGCACCTCCCGGTTCATGCGTTTCCCCCACACTTGCGACCTGCTCGTTTCCATTTCCTTGGCTGGTTCCTCCCGTTGCCCCGTCCCCTGTCCAGAGCAATCTCATCTGTAAATGCTTGTAATGCCACAAATGTACCAAGTGATGACCAAATGTAGATGCCCAGTTTCTCAACCTGACCCTGTGGGTCCACACCTCTACCCACCTATCTGGCGTTTCTGCAGAGACCCAAGAATGACTTCAAATGGCGATCTTACCAGAACACAAGCTCACAGCCACAATGTCAACACCTACCGCACAGAAAATGCACAGATAATGGATTCCTGAACAACCGAGCTCTGCCTGGGCATCATAGTTGAAGCTGTCCTCTGCACCTACTGTCCACCTGTCATTCTTACCCCAACACTCCCACACACCAATCCCAACTCTTCAAAAAAAAAAAAAAAAATCAAATGAAACTTCCTCCAGGCTGGCTTCTCTGACATTTCCTCCCATTCCCTACTCACCAACTGTGCTGGATACTCTTGCCAAACAGACTCATAAAATCTAATGCACTTTCTCTCGAGACCACGTCAATGTCACAATGATCTAAATATGTTGCGTTAATACACTGAGTTCTTTAAGGGTAGAAAGCATGTCATTCATCTCCATATCACCAGCCAGATCATTTGTTGGATTAATGGATGAATGAAATAAATCTCTAGCTTGGGAAGAAAACCACTGAAATGTTGGCTCTCTAAAGCTTGCCATATCATAAAGGTTCTCACCCTTCTTAGCTTGAAGAGTTTATAAATTGTCTTGGTCATTTTTCTCTGCACTTATTAAGCAACAGTAGGTTAAATTTGTAAATTGTTTATGCATACGTTTGACTCAGCTATATGTAGCTACATCTTTGCTCTCTGAATACATGTTCTCCAAGAGGATCCCATGGGACATGTTTCCTTTAAGCACATACTACCATGACATTTTTTTTCCTAACACAGAGTAATGGTTTCCTGTATAACTGGTCTGAGCTTAGGCACATCAAAGGGAAAACTCCCTCTGGATTTTCTGATGAGGTCCTGGAGAGCCCTAAAATGTGGAGGGATTCTGCTCTGGGTCTGAGCTAAGAGGTGCTAAAGGAACCTACAATATCACCAGCAGGTTGGAGCTAGTAGGCATCACAGGTTACTGCGGGGTTAGTGCTGTTGAGCTTCTTAACAGGTGTCACACCCCTGTCTAGGGGGTGTGTACTGGTGGTAAGAAGGGTGAATATGGTCAAAATATATACATGTGTGGAAATGGAAAAGGCTTGAGGTTGGTTTAGAAAGAGGGGAAGCAGGGGAGTGATGGAGAGGATGAGTCTGATCAAGTTTCACTTTATGTATATATGAACATATCAAAATGATATGCCCTTGTACAACTGACGGATGCCAATTTAAAAAATGGGTAAGAAAACAAGCCAGACACCCATGTCTTATGCCTATAAATCCTAGCTACTTAGGAGGCTGAGACCTGAAGGGTCTCAGCGTGAGGCCATTAACCAGCAATATTTAGACTGGAAGTGCAGCTCAAGCGGTAGAGGGCCAGCTGTGACTAAGAAAGCCAAGTGTGAGCTGGAGGCCCTGATTTCAAGCCCTGGTACACATACACATGTGCACGCGCGCGCGCGCACGCACACACACACACACACACACACACAGTTTATTGCATAACCGTAGGAGAATCACAAGTGATTTATTTTCCTGATTAATATATTTGGAGTTGAGATGAACACAAATTTGTCTCCCTCCTTACTAAATGAGCACCATATGGGTGCTTCTGTGCTCCAGGAAGTTAGACCAAAGAACACCCAGAGCCGGGCATCGGTGGTTTACACCTGTAATCCTAGCCACTCAGGGGGCTGAGATCTGAGGATAGTGGTTCAAAGCCAGCCCGGGCGGGAAAGTCTGTTAAACTCTTATCTCCAATAAACTACCAGAAAACTGGAAGTGGCACTGTAGCTCAAGTGGTAGAGCACTTGCCTTCAGCTGAAGAGCTGAGGGACAGCGCCCAGGCCCAGAGTTCAAGCCCCACAACCGACAAAAAAAACCCAAGAACACCCAGAAAAGATTACCAAGTCAAGTAAGAGTAAAGATATCCCAAAAAAATTGAAGCTGATGTGGTGCATACCTGTAACCCCAGCTATGGGGAAGGATGGCGAGCTTGAAGCCAGTCTGGGCTACACAGCAAAACCTCATCTCTAAAACAAATAAGAAGCACAAATTGACATGGTTTAGCACTTTGGCAAACCCACTACATCCACACTTTCTGGCTTAAAAGTGTTTAAAGGTAAAATTACTGGCTGTTATCGGCATTTTAAATAGTCAAATACTTTTAAAAATGGAGGGAACTGAACTGCGTGTGCCTCAGGAGCAGGATGTAAAATGCAGCCACGACCTTACCACAAGTATGAACCACAAAATATGCGGGGCTGGAAAGGACCGGAAGGAAACACACTAAGGTGTGTGCAACAATATCTCTGGGGGGTCAGTGAACAATGGGGGAATTGTTTTCTCCTTTGACTTCTAATTTTTTTCCAATATTCTGTTATTAACATATATTAAAGGGAAAGAATGTCCCTAATTTTTAAAAGCCTGTTCTAGTGCTAGTATCACAGCTTGATAATGTTTATAAGTTTCCCACTTAGAGTAAAAGTTGTACTCCATTGTAACTCCACAGACAGAAATGATTTACCCATGATGTTAACATTAATCAGAAACATTTTGTCTTTGTCTTTTAAGAACAGGCACACTTGCTAGAGTTTGAGGTCAATCCATCTTGAATTTATTTCTCCTCATTTTTGAGAAACTTGACAGTAACAGAGTCAGGAAACATCTTGTGGTTTACTATATACAAGAGTTATAAACCTTAGTTTGGGGGAAAAAAAGATGACAGTTTAAAAGAAGGCATAAAATACAGATATATGTGTATAGACATATGTATATCCATTACAAAAGGCTGTGGGCATATAATTTATTAAAGAGCTTAGTAAATATTTTATATATAAAAGATTTATAGGCAAGCCTGGCCTACTTAGCAAGACTATTTCAATACAAAAACAAAGAAGTGTGCAAAGACCAAGGAATGGGGGTGTGGCTCAAGTGGTAGAGCATTTGCCCAGCTTGCCCTGCCAAATATAAGTAAACAAAATACAAGATGAAGGAACAGTGGGTAAACTTATGTCATTACCCTCTGCTTCTAAATTGCATCCAAAGATTACCTTTTACACTTCTGTGGGAAATATATTCTATAAGCAAATAACCTGACCATCTCTCTGGTATAACATATAAACTTGTAAACTGGATGACACCACACATGATCTCTGAAATATATGTTTGGTGGTGCTTATAAATGAATGATCACCAATTCCCTGTAATGTAGACTATTATCCAAATAAGCTGGTTGTTTTTGTTGTAAGGATGCTGCTGCTTCCCTTCTGCAGATATTTTAGGTCACATATGAATTCAAACACAACACAGAAACATGCATTATGTGTACCTAAGGCTTGAGGTGGAAGAAACTTTAGGCATTAATTAACCCAAATCCCACAAGAGACTCTTGAATTCTTTATCCAGCATGTCCTTCGGTACTCACTGAGCCTGGGTTTAGGAAATTCCAAGTAACCAAGAAACAAAGATGATGCTGTTTTTGGACAACTATCATCACTAAGTAACTCTTCCTTCTACTGTGCACTGTATAAAAATGTACTTCATTACAACTTTATTCTGCAAGCTCTGGCTCTCCTACCTCGGGCCTCTTGAGCACGAACTTGGAAAGTTATTTAGCTATTAGAATATCACTCCATCTCCCAAATGTTTTCTTTTGGACAAATGATCAGCTAGGATCTCTAGGGCTGTGTCCCTGGCCC